CCCGGGCTGCAGACTTCCAGTTGCGGCTGAACCCATGCCTAGGGCTGTGTTCCTTGCCCCTCCTGCAGGGGTCCTGTCTGCAGGTCTCTGTCCTAGAGTTCTGTTCCCAGCCCTGCATGCAGCCTTGTATCCAGGATTCTGTCCACAATTCCACATCTGGAGTCTACATTTGGGACTCCTGCTGCAGCCAGTCCCCCACCAGGACCTCTGCTCCCATCCCTCAATTGCCCCTTAACTCTGGGTATGTCTACACTACCCTCCTAGTTCGAACTAGGAGGGTAGTGTAGACATACCCTGAGTGTGTGTCAGGGAGCAGCTTTTGAAGAAGCTACTACAGTGAAATGTTTGTTATCTGGCACTCTGTGAAACAGAAAACTTTGTTAACCGGCATTGCCCCCAGCCACAATACTGGCACATCTTCAGGCGCACAGGCCTGGCTTGGTTTACCATGATTGGCTTAATTTTTTATTTAAGAAGTACTAATCATCTTTAACTCAAAATAGAAATGTGAGACCAACTGCCTCACACTACAAAACTACCAATATTAAAAACCTGAGTTTTACTATTAGTGTCCATTTGGTTTTTCCTAGGTTGATGGGACCCTCAGATAACCGGAATTTTTAGATAACCAGAACACCCTAATCCCCGAGCGTGATGGATAACACAGGTTTTACTGTAATACCCTTCCCCTCCAGACCCTCAGCAATGCCCAAGATGTGGAGGTTGCTCCTTCAAGATCTGATTTCTGAGTCCTGGTTTTGTCTAGTCTAAGCTTTAAGGAAGCAGCTTCCTCTTTGATTTCCCTGGTTTCAGTAGCTGCCTTTTGTTGCTCTATTTTCGAAGCGAGCCATTCACGATTCTCTATCACACACATCTTTAGACAGGCTACAGATATCTTTGGAGATTGAATCCAGCTGGTTGGTGAGGAACTTTTTCAGTGCTGCAATATCCTGGGCTTGGTTGTGCTCTTGTCTTGCGGTACATCTGCTTCTGTGATGCAGGCTCAGGTCTTTTGTTGCCTCATTTTTATATTGGCATCCAGAGTCAACAGCTTGAGGTTTATCCAGGGGATTCATTTAAACTTTGATCATAGAGGCTTATTGCCAGTTTGCTAGGAGCATAATTATTAGAGATGAAGCGATACCTGAGGCGGCCTGGGGCTTGGCAGTCATCTTCCTTGTGGACCCCAGAGTTTTCTAGGTCGGTTTGGTTGGGCAGTAAATCAAGAGGGACAGATCCTCAGCCCAGTGTCAGTCAGTACAATGCCACTGACACCAATAGAGAGACACTGCCTGGCATCAGCAGGTGGGCAGGCCTGGGTGGTCCAGAGAGGATGCCACCGTGTTCTCTTCCAAGTAATGACATTTCCCCCTTTTTTTTTTCAAATCCCAGATCTTCATGAAGGGCGTCTCCAGGAGCTGGAGGAGTGCTGGCCGCTGAGTCAGATCTGTCCCTGAAGCCCAGTGAGACGTCAGAGGTACAGTATGGCCCAGGTCTGAGTTTTGAGCTATTCCTTCCAAAACATCAGAAGGGTGGGGGAGAGGGAACAGTTGCAACCTGCCTGGTCTGGTGCTGGTGCCAGGAAAGACAGGACTGGAGCTATGCCAGGAGCTGCAGAAATGGGAGGTTGAAATGTGTTTGTAATGGGGCAGCGCTCACCTCTTAGGAGTGTCCCCTGTCGGGCCAAGTGTGAGTGCCTGGACTCTCCCATTTAGAGCCTTCTGGGCAACTCAACACAAGCTAGATAGGAGTCAGCAGTGTGACTCTGTTGCAACATGGATTCACCAAGGGCAAGTCCTGCCTGACCAATCTGGTTGCCTTCTATGACGAGGTAACTGGCTCTGTGGATGTGGGGAAGTCAGTGGATGTGATATACCTTGACTTTAGCAAGGTTTTTGATACGGTCTCCCACAATATTCTTGCCAGCAAGTGAAGGAAGTCTGGATTGGATACATGGACTGTAAGGTGGATACAAAGCTGGCTAGACTGTCGGGCTTAGCAGGCAGTGATCAATAGCTCGATGGCTGGTTGGCGGTCGGTATCAATCGGAGTGCCCCAAGGGTCTGCTCTGGGGCCGATTTTGTTCAACATCTTCCTGAATGGCCCAGATGAGGGGAGGGGCTGCACCTTCAGCAAGTTGGTGGATGACACTAGAGAGAGAGGGTGATTTGGCAAACTAGGTCTGCCTGGTGGTCAGAGTAAGGATGGCTACGCAAATACAGTCTGCTCCTGAAATCTTTCCCCTCCCACTATATGACTTGATGTTGTGAACATTTCATTCAGCCCCTGCTTACATATGATATAGTCAAAAGTGTTTGGTTTATTTTTAATGCAGAATTCCGGTAGCTAAAAATCCGTTCATTATCAAGAGCTCTAGAAGTGTCAATGGTAATTAAAACACTCCAAAATGTGTTTCTGGTGAACTGTTGATCAGATACAGGCCCATACCTGGGAGAAGGGAGAGGAGGGCTTTCTGAAGGTTACAAATGCGCACCTCCATGGTTCCCAAAGTAAGCATGCTCCAGCCAGCTGTGGGGAGGCAGGAGCGGCGAGCCTCCCTCCCCCATGCGCCGGCATATTTTGTAGCCTCTAGCAAAGATGTAAATTTAAGTTCCCAGGCTCATTTTTTCAGCTGTTGTGCAGGTTTCCTCTGAGGGCGAGGCCCAGAGCACCCAATACAAGCAATGGCTTGGTGAGGTGCAGGAGCTTCAGAGCATTTCCAAACTTGCTTGTCCCTTCTCGCCCCCCTCTGAGCAAACTGCAACAGAATCAGACGCCACCACCCAGAAGGATAGTCCCCTCACTCCCTGTGGGTATGTCTACACTACCCCACTAGTGCGAACTAGCGGGGTAATGTATGCATTTGAACAGCTGTGAGCTTTCATGTACTGAGCCTGCACTCAGCACAATCCCATTGGCTGGTTTCCAGCTAATGGGAGCTACCTGTTGTCAACAAGCAGCTTGCAAAGCACCCTCCCCCCTCCCCTCAGGCTCCTAGCTGTTCAAAAACCACGTGGTCCCTGCAGTCAGTTGTGGTGGTGGGTCAGGACATCTGCTTTAGAAGGCTGCTGGCTTGGAGTCAAGCAGGTAAGTCTCCCAGCCAGAGCCTGCCTTTGGCACCCCAAACCCTCTACCCCTATATTGCCTCCCAGATCCTGCACCTCAATTCCCTGCTTCAGGTCACAACCCAAACTCTCTGCTCCTCCTCCTGCAGCATATCTTCTCCCAGATCCTGCACCCCAATCCCCTGCCCCGGGTCATAACTCAACCCCTCTGCCTTCTTCCTGCACCCCAATCCCCTGCTTCAGGTCACATCCCAAACTCCTCCACCCCCTCCTGTACCCCAGTTGCCTTGCCTAAGTCACAACTCAAATCCAAACCCCTGCATCCTCGTACCCTAACACGACCGCCTCCTTCACCCAAACTCCCTCCTAGACCCCACCCCTTCTCCTGCACTGCAGGCTCCCTTCTGCACCAATCTCCGTCCCAGGCCCTGCTCCTCCTCCATTAATATGGAAGAGTGCAGCCCTCGATCTCTTTCCAAATTCTTAAAGTGCTCCCCCCCCCCAACAAAAATTATTGCCCGCCACTGGTACAGGCTAACTCTGCACACTGCAAAAGTGGGAGGCCTCTGAGACTTTCATTCCAAGTCCGAGTCTCAAAGGTCTCATAGCGAGCAGAGTGGGGGGCTGCTGCTCTGCTTAGTGTCCTCCTAATCGCAGCAATAGTGTGAGAGCCCCTGGTCCACCAGGCAGACAGGCTGCACCTCAGGATGGGTGGTGGGACTGGCTGGGGGGCCACTGACTGTATCAGAAAGGGCCCCCCCAGCTAAGGTGAGTGCCTCAGTCCTTGCCCTTTGCTGTCTGGGTATAGAGGAGGGGAAGCCGTGGCCCCTCCTCTATACCCAGACAGCAAAGGGCAAGGACTGAGGCACTCACCTTAGCTGGGGGGGCCCTTTCTGATACAGTCAGTGGCCCCCCAGCCAGTCCCACCACCCATCCTGAGGTGCAGCCTGTCTGCCTGGTGGACCAGGGGCTCTCACACTATTGCTGCGATTAGGAGGACACTAAGCAGAGCAGCAGCCCCCCACTCTGCTCGCTATGAGACCTTTGAGACTCGGACTTGGAATGAAAGTCTCAGAGGCCTCCCACTTTTGCAGTGTGCAGAGTTAGCCTGTACCAGTGGCGGGCAATAATTTTTGTTGGGGGGGGGGAGCACTTTAAGAATTTGGAAAGAGATCGAGGGCTGCACTCTTCCATATTAATGGAGGAGGAGCAGGGCCTGGGACGGAGATTGGTGCAGAAGGGAGCCTGCAGTGCAGGAGAAGGGGTGGGGTCTAGGAGGGAGTTTGGGTGAAGGAGGCGGTCGTGTTAGGGTACGAGGATGCAGGGGTTTGGATTTGAGTTGTGACTTAGGCAAGGCAACTGGGGTACAGGAGGGGGTGGAGGAGTTTGGGATGTGACCTGAAGCAGGGGATTGGGGTGCAGGAAGAAGGCAGAGGGGTTGAGTTATGACCCGGGGCAGGGGATTGGGGTGCAGGATCTGGGAGAAGATATGCTGCAGGAGGAGGAGCAGAGAGTTTGGGTTGTGACCTGAAGCAGGGAATTGAGGTGCAGGATCTGGGAGGCAATATAGGGGTAGAGGGTTTGGGGTGCCAAAGGCAGGCTCTGGCTGGGAGACTTACCTGCTTGACTCCAAGCCAGCAGCCTTCTAAAGCAGATGTCCTGACCCACCACCACAACTGACTGCAGGGACCACGTGGTTTTTGAACAGCTAGGAGCCTGAGGGGAGGGGGGAGGGTGCTTTGCAAGCTGCTTGTTGACAACAGGCAGCTCCCATTGGCCGGAAATTAGCCAATAGGATTGTGCAGGGGGCAGGAACAGCGCCTGAAGCCTCCTGCCCCCCCTCCTCTGGGCTCACAGGTGTTCAAACAGAGCCCTGCAATGTGCTGGGGGGTGGGAGCAAGCAGGGAACCTGCCTGAGGCTCCCTGCTGCCAGCCTGGAGGATGTTTTGCTGAGGCCTGGTCCATACTCTGCCCCCACCCCACCCACCGGGCTGGCTTGTCATAAGCACCACAGGAGAGCTGCATCGCATGCTGGGAGTTGTAGTCCTTTTTTGCCTCCCCTGTTTCACTCCCCATTTCGGGCAGTGTGGAGGGATGGGGGTGGGACTACATCTCCCATAGGGCCGGGGCCCTTCCCTTCAATGCCAGCCAGGCATTGGCAGCAGGTGCCTTTCTCTGTAATCTCTGATTGGACTGGCTGCCACTTGAATCTGACTGGAGACACTGTAGGCTGCTGGGTATCAGTGTTGAGGAGTGCACTGGGAGCTGCAGATGGAGCTGGCAGGATAAAGTGAGGGGTGTGCAGGGCCCAGTCCCACTCCCGGCAGGGGGAGGAATCAGCCCCAGCCTTTCCCCAGCCAGCCGGAGCAAGGAGGAGAGAAGCTGGGGCAACATGCTGCCCCAGACTTTCACAGCCTGGCCGGGATCAGCCCTATGGGAGACCATGAGGGGGTTCGTTCACACCCTTCAGCCACCTCCCTTCCCCACGTATGGGTCTGGCTAAGCTAGGGGGAGAGGTAGATACACTGGAGGGCTGGGATAGGTTCCAGAGTGATTGAGACAAATTGGAGGTTTGGGCCAAAATAACTCTGAGGTTCAACAAGGAGAAATGTAGAGTCCTGCACTCAGGATGGAAGAATCCCAAGCATTGTTACAGGCTGGGACCGCCTGGCTAAGCAGCAGTTCTGCAGAAAAGGCCCTGGGGATTCCAGTGGATGAGAAGCTGGGTAGGAGTCAACAGGGTGCCCTTGTAGCCAAGAATCCTGTCAGGGCTGTTCCTCACTCTGTCACAGAGCAGAGAAGCTGAGGGCCCGCAAGAGAGCTTCAAAACCTTGTCTCTACAGGTGCTGGTCACAAAAAATTTTCCCCCAGAATCATAATACCCAGATTTTGGGGAATTGCTGACACCATCAATTGCTTTTTGATCCTTAAAAACCCGAGGGGAATACTTGAAATCACCCCAAGGGCACCCCAAGGTCTTTTGCCCCAAAAGAGCTTGATAAAAGAAAAGAGAAAAACAAGCTGCAGTCTCTGGCAGCTGACCCCTGAGTCAGAGACTTGCAGATACCCACAGACAGACCTTCCAGGACCCAAGAATCTGTTACCCCAAAAAATTCCCACTGGAGACCTCCCAGGGTGACACTAGCGTGGGTTCATTGATAAACTGGGTTCATTGATAAACTAAAGAAGACAGAGCTGCCACCAAAGGTTTAAACTGAAGAGGGAACCAGCTATCTCTCACACACACAAACAAGCACACACACCCCTCCAGTCATTCACTCATTCGCACACATTCATTCCTGCCGGCGGGCACTCATCTTACACAGGCCTACGGGTTGCAGAAGGAGCCAAACCATGTTGGAAACTGGCTGTAGGAAGAGGAGCTTCTCAGGAAGAGGGTAAAAAGGGGCCT